TCTGCAACTGAGTTTCAACATACTGGGTTTTTTCTTCCTTCTCACCCTCTCTCACTTCACACACACAAGAACATAAAATACAAACTAAGTCACAATCCAGGCCTGCTAACTTTATTGCTACAACTCAGCTGCAGCCAGATGACATTTCATATTTTTGTTTCAGTGGCTGATGGCAATGAAATGCCTATCCCCAGCTGGCTCCTGGCCACTAAAAGAACCCAGTCACTGTGAGTACACTTAAGCCATCAGAAGAGGCTCATGAGGTTTATCCCTTACCAGCAGCCAGACAGCTGGTTAAAGGAGAATGGCCAATGCAAACAAGGGAAACTCCTTTTTTGGCATTCACTAGTGAAAAGACCACCTAACAGCATATTCCAGAATAGGCTACTCTGCTAAGGCTGCAAATGAACTGGCTACCATGATCCTATCTTTTAAATCCACGCAAGTGTTTAAGTAAAAATTGCATCACGAGTATGAAAATCTTTGCAGAGAGGTAGGTGGACTTAAACAGGCCCACACATGAATACTGCTGTGAACTAAGTGCTAGAGTGCTGCCTCCAGCACCAGCTAATTCAGTTACAGTGGTATAACTTCTGGTGTAGCCCAACAAAACATGCTGATTGCACAACAAAGCCATTGCTGAGTACCTGGGAAGTAGAAAAACATGGAATCAGAAACATGCACCAACATCCTGGTGGAGGACTCCTCCCATGGCATTCAAGGTTTTGACTGTTCAAACTTTGGTCTTTTAGAAAGCTGCACTTCTGTGTCAGAATTTGTCACCTTTCTACACCCTTCTTGAATCATAGGAAAAACTGCACTTTAATTAGTATGACATTTTTCACTAACACTGAACATTAGCATTTAATTCTGTCATCACAGTGAAGAAATGGGGTAAACTTGTTTTAGTAGTGTTTGGTTTAATAATTGAAAGTAATTTTTGCTAGACATTTCATTCTGAACTGGTGTAGTGCTTCAGATTTTTTTTTTTTTATTTTACCCCTCCAAAACCAAGCCAAACACATACCACCATGGCATGAATTCTGACTTGCCAAATTAATATTGACTCACTGGCATCTTCAGTCTTACTTTCTATTAATACCTCTTTGCTCTTACAGTGCTGTGAGTATGGAAACTTGATCAGAAATCCCAGAAATCACAGATTAACATGTTATGACTGGTCAGCTAAATTGCAATACCTGGTAACGTACCTGCTCCTACCATACGTCACAAAATAAAACATGTTCTGCTTTGTCTATGCACTGTACTAAGATCTTGGTTGAGTGAAAGCGACAGAAGGGGTTTTGTTTTGGTTTGTTTCTGAAGAAAATCCACAGAAAACATTCAGTTCCATGCTGGAAAGCTTGCAGAATTCAAAAAAATGTAACTTTGCAGTATTAGACCAGAAAGAAGCACCATCAACAAACTAGTCAAATTTGCTGATCGTATTCTTATTCAAAACAACTCCTGTGAAGCAGAAAGAAATTTGAAAAGCTCTCTACATTCACTATAATATCCAGGATTAGGGTGTGAGCTGATATGCAGATTGGATGGAAGGGAACAAGCTACTCAAAGCCTGATCTCAGGATTTGTTGGCTGGTTCTGCACAAAAATGCAGCCGTGAAGGGTCCAAGGAACTTTTTCCAGGAAGCAGTGATTACAGAGAAGATTCACATCAGATGGGTACTGCAGGAGCCACCACATGAGAAATCTTCCGTTACTCAGATCTACCAAATCATACTGTTGCCTTCCACTGGCAAACTAACAAACTAAAAAAGTAGCTTCAGCATGCCACAGAATCATGGCTTATATAAAAATTAGATCACAATTCAAGCCATGTGAAAGAGCAAAGAAGAAGAAATACCAAAGATGTGTAAAAACTATGCTAAATAAAACAAAAAGAATGCCAGTACAGATGTAACTTATTAAAGTTACACATAGCATCAATTAGGTTTCTTCCTTAAAGCCTCCTGAAATGACCAAACCCTCCCTCTAAGATTTAAATCATGCAGTATTTCTTAAGAAGCCAAACACAGGAAAATAAGATGTACCAATTCACTATTAATTTTGCTCTTTCTGCCTTCACTATACATTTCGTTTTTGCTTGAATTGATTTACCTCTATTTAACAGGAGATTGATTTTGTTTAAGAAAGTTAGTTTTTCATGCATTTTGTTGGTGGAAAAAAAAAATTACAGCACTGTGAAAGGACAGTTACAAAATTATCTCCAACAACTGTAATACACATATAATAGCCATACCATTCACCTAACAAATCATCAAGAACCACAGAATCAGAGGATCATTAAGGATGGAAAAGACCTCTAAGATCATCAAGTCAAACCATCAGTTATCAATAAATTGCAACTCTTTGCCAATCTTTCTTTTAAGTAGTTAAAATTACATATCATTGTAATACGGGGAGTGTTTAAGGATAACCAATCTCATATGCAACAACCGGATTAGAAGTTAAAGAAAAAAAAATTATTCTTCCTTTGGAGACAAATTTTAGATTATTCACCATTCTAGGCATCGCACTACACACGTTCCCACTACACAAATACCTCAGAGTTTGTGATCAACAAATAATTTAGTTTAATCCTGTCCTTTTCAGGTATGATATTCAGGGAATAGAAAACTGTGTTGCTTGACTTTTATTTTTTTAAATATGTATGGCCACCAACAACTGAAAAATCAGAACAGACCTCTTTTTGATTTTTCATGCAGAAAAATTTTGAATCCAGAAAGAGGGGGAAAAAACTTTCTTCACAGACACACATTATGTATTTACTGTTTCCTTCATAGGCTGCAATCAAATATTGCAAACATTAGCATGTAACTTTGGTAATTTGGTCCAGTATGACTCACTTGGAACAAATCAGTCAACAGCAATACAGAAAATATCCTTCCACTTATTACAGCCAAGGGACACCAAGTACATTGGTTTTCTTTTCGCTGGCTCAAAACCAAATCATAGAATCGTTTAGGTTGGAAAAGACTTTTAAGATCATCGAGTCCAACCATTAACTTAACACTGCCAAATCCACTGCTAAACTGTGTTCCTAAGCACCACATATACACAACTTCTAAACAAGTCCAGGGATGATGATTCATCCACTTTTCTGAGCATCCTGTTCCAGTGCTTGACAACCCTTTCTATGACAGTATTTTTCCTAATATCCAATCTAAACCTCCCCTGGTGCAACTTGAGGCCATTTCCTCTTGACCTATTGTTTGTTACTTGGGAGAAGAGACCGACCCCCACCTCTTGACAGCCTCCTTTCAGGTAGCTGTAGAGACCAATAAGGTCTCCCCCTCAGCTGCCTTTTCTTCAGATTAAATAGCCTCAGTTCCCTTCAGCTGCTCCTCTTAAGACCTGTTCTCTAGGCCCCTCACCAGCTTCATTGCCCTTCTATGGACATGTCCCAACACCTCCATGTCCTTCTTGTAGTGAGGGGCCCAAAACTGAGCACAGTACTCAAGGTGCGGACTCACCAGTGTCAAGTACAGGGGACAATCACTTCCCTAGTCCTGCTGGCCACACCACTTCTGATACAATACAGGATGCTGTTGGCCACCTGGGCACACTGCTGGCTCATGTTCAGCCAGCTGTCCAAAAGCACCCCCAGGTCCCTTTCTGCTGAGCAGCTTTCCAGCCACTCCTCCCCAAGCCTGTAGCGTTGCCTGGGGTTGTTGTGGCCCAAGTGCAGGAGCTGGCATTTGGCCTTGTTGAAGCTCATACGACTGGCCCTGGCCCATTGCTCCAGCCTGCCCAGATCCCTCTGTAAAGCCTCTCTACATTCAAGCAGATCAACACTTCTGCCCAGCTTGATGTCGTCTGCAAACTTACCGAGGGTGCGCACATTCAGAAAGCTGTGTTAAGATACATGCCTCTGATTTTATAGGCAAGAATAGTATCCCAAGGAGCATCTTGGGACACATTAAAGCTTGGTAATATATGGCAACAAATTACGAAAAAGTGTTAAGATCCATTACTATTCTCCATGTTTATTTTTCTAGTTAAGCTAGAAACAGCTTCACAAAACTCCTTGGGACAGATACTCTCCTAAGGGTAGAAAAGTAAGCTATTGCTCTCTGTCCATGCTTTTTGCATGAGACAAAAAGCCTAAAAAATAAAAAGCAAGCAAACTACCTCTGGACACAAAAAGGAAGGAGATGAGTTGCAACCATATGCTCTCTTTAGGAAATTTGGCCCTCAAACTGGAAAGTTTCCTTATGCCTTTGTTGTGCTTGCCCTACTTTGCCTGAATGAAAAAAAAGATTTCTTAAACGAATAAACAGTATCATCAGTCATGGTACACAGAAAATAAGGTGCAAGCAACCTTCTACCTACAATATCTGTTGAGAGAGATCAGTTATTGGTATAGTACTTTGCAGAGAACAGTGTTACATGAAAGCTGCAGTACTGAAAAAAATAATTTAGCAAATCTGAGAAGTGTTTCATTTTGGAAACATTTTCAAAAAGAACCAAAGAATTCAGGAAACATTGTTGGTTTCCTGAGAACATGGAGTGCATTCACCATGAATCACTAACTCTTCCTTGAGATTGTTTCATAAAAGCAGAATTATAGAACAAAACATTTGAGGAACAACTTGCTAACCAAGCTATGCATACGACTTGCTAATAAAACCATGTGTAATTTGGGACAAAAATTGATCCTCAGACGGATAAACAACAAGAAGATGAGTGAAATGCTTTAAAATATATAGATCTCTTTTTTAAAGAAGGTGCTCAGGAAAAGCCTTTCAACTATCTTTAATATTTACATAATATATGTTATATAATGTTCCAAAAGGTTAACAGTTCCAAACAAAGGATTATTTGCAGACATATATGAGGGAATACAAAGTTGCAGGATATCCTTCAGTAGATATTTTTTCTATCTTTTGTAACCTGCAGTGCAAGACATTAATGAAAGTCTGACACCTGGATAAAGATCTGATTTGTTGGCTTGATAAATACATGACAAAAAAAAAAATCTAATCTTTCGGGGTCAGTTTTCTAAGAAGTTCATACAAAAGCTTCACAGTCCTTTGGTTTTCTTCGCCATTATGGTTAATCCTGTATGCAGTACGGATAAGAAGGCTACACACTTCTTTTCTTGTATCCGTTCTCTCAGTAATCTGAAGGGAAACAGAGAGGAAATAATGCAATTATGTTGCTAAGGACTAAGAATACTCCATTAATATTTGCCACAAAACCACAGATCTGTCCCTCAACATGAAACACGTGAGATGCCCTCCCTTCAAAAGCAACTTCTGCCCAAGGTGTCTTTCCACGTATCTTGGTGGAACGGAGCAACTTCGAGATTTCCACTGTTCTCTCAAATTGAAGTGAAACAAACCAAGACGCCAAAAAGTTTTGAACAGAAACACAAATGGACAGACTGCGCAACCCTTTAGAAGTAATCTCCTGAGAAAACAACTACAAGCACATGAAGGTTTTGGTTGAGTTTGGGGAGACAATTCAATTCTGTAAAGCTTTGTAAAGTGAAAACAAATCCCCTCCAAAAAAAGATTACAAAATACCAGGAAAAGACCCTAAGCTGCAATTTTTGCAGATCAGGAGGGACTTTACTCTCCATTATCTGTGTGTTAATCTCAAAATCACTGCCACACATCTCAGTTTGGTTCCTTATCATTCTGCCTTTCATATATTGCCTTCAGGCCTTTTCAAAACACATGGAGAACCTAGCCACACATTAGTGATTACACAGATACAGTCAAAATCAATCAAACATATTCTAGCCTACAACAGCTCATGACCACTCTGCACTGGGGAATACTGAGAGTTTTGAAATTTAATTATTGTTGCTTTCTATAAAGAAACTAGAAATTGCCTTCAGTCTTCCTGAAAAATGTTTAAAGTAGCATAGTACAATACTACAGTATCACTGCTCAACAGCCACACTCCTCAAGGGAGAAACTAAAACCAGCAGACAGTAAAAATACATACAACACCCCTAATTTAATCATTACATTTTATGTCAAGAAGAAATGGATAATTTGTGAACTTAACACCTAAAATGCTAGAAATATCTTAGCCTTTCTTGAACAGAAAAATGTTGCATCTGCTTAGTCAGACAGAAGGAATAAACAGCAAAACAGGCTTCCAGTTCCCTACATCATAAATTCAGATTCCTTATACATTCCATATACCCTACAGAGGTGGAAGACCACACTGGTGCTGAAAGGAAAAACTTTTTGAAGTGCTAAAACTATACACTGACCCCAGACCTGCATGCATAGGAGGCCTGTACTTCTTAAAAGAATATGGTTTTATTGAGAGGAATAAATTCTTAATCTCATACCGAGATATCACTTTTATCTTGAGAGACACAAACATGTTTTACTCTTTGCACCAATATAACTGACGGCTGTCATCAACAATAGAAAGATACAGTGGCACGCTTCCAAAATTTTGTTCTTCTTCAGCTTTTTTCACACCTTAGGTGACACTCTCTCAGGTCTTAATTGTTTTTTTCTCTCAATTATTACACCATTTTCTTCTCTGGCTTTGCACCAACCTTCTGCCTCATCAATGTTAACACTTAGTAACTAGCTGTTTTACATAATGGAAAACAGAGAAGACAGTTCCATCATCTCTGCAGCAGCTGTGTAACTGGGAAAAGCTAAATGTTGCACATGTGGTCTCTTCCAGGTAAAGATGAACTGTGGGTATCCCTGAACTGCAAGCGACTACTCCAACTATTTCTGCAGCTGCATAGTCAGGGCAGCAACTTTTCTAGTGACATCTTGTCAATAAGTGTCAAGAAAGAATGTATTTTGACTGTAGCTAAAATAGATCCGTAGCAGGGTAGGTATAGCTGCTGTAGTCACAGTCGTCTTTAATTCTGTGTGTTCTTTATAAGAGGTAAGAACTTAAACCCAAAATAGCGTAAAAACAAAACAAAACAAAACAAAACAAAACAAAAAAAAAAAAAAAAAAAAAAAAAAAAAAAAAAAAAAAAGGAAAAAAGGGAAGGAACACTTACGTGGTAAATAAATTCTTGGGCAATCCTATGTCCACCAGAAGAAAATAGCAAAAAGTTGGTAAGAAGATGTGTTATAAGATGCCAGATATAACTCTGCTCTGTATCCATTATACTGTGTACAGCAGCTTCCAGATCTTTGACAGAAAGGACTGTACAGCTGAAGAGCATCATTAGATGATTATAGACTGCTTGAGCTTCTACCTGTAGGAAACAATTTCAAAGGATGCAGGATCAGAGAGGAATAAAGGTCATATCTACGGTATTTTCCTTTTGTATTTATTCACTAACAGGAGACTGAAACCTTGGCAGAAACTGCCAAAACATAAAAAGAGTCTCAATTTAAGCAGCAGGGAGAACAGGGAAGGAAGGGCTGTACACATTTCTTTTATACTGATTCAAATACACAGAGGTGGACAGAATGGATATTTTAACTTACTTTGGTCTTGCTAATTAAGCAGGCAGGGCATCAAGCCAGGATTTGACCTTTATTAATAATAAAAGGAAATGAAGAAAATCCCTCAGCAGAACATGGTCAGATTTTTGCATTGTGGGAAAAAGAACAGAGGCTCCTCAAGGGCTCATTTCAGTATTGCTGCTACAAATCAATTAAATGCCCATGCAACCTGACCTTGTCTGATAAAATGTTCTAGTAAGAACATTCTTCCTTCTTCCTGTGTTGTTTGCAACTTACATTTCTCACCTTTTGAATTAGCCCATAAAACCTAATTTTTACTGGGAGTAGAAAACAGAAGATTTTGGCACCTACTCAATAGAAAAAGAACTATAAGCAATAAATCCAAACAATAATTCTCTTCACTATATTAAAAATAAACCAAACAAACTGGTAGGAAAAAAAAAACAAATGGGCAAGTGCAGGAAAATGGAAAAATATACCACTGCAGACTTAAATGAAAAGGACACCTGTTTCTCAGCCATGTTCATTAGGACAATTTGTTTCAGTCATTTACCTGATCTTGCTTTTCTCATCCCTGTCCTATTAGCAATTCCACATAAAATGGCCTAAAAAAGCTGCTATTCTTAAATTATGCCTACAGCTACACATGAGGCAACAAATTATACCAGAACTTAAAGAAAGGGAACTATAATTCTTCAAGATTCCCTATTCCTCTGTCTATCATATTCTTGGTGTGCCTCCAACCCATGTGCCAGAGACTGGCAACCGATACTAGCAGGTTCTGCTCCATGGGCTCACTTAGCCTAGAAGACTCATTCTTAGAGCCAGAGTTACTATGACCAACCTCTAAGTTGTGTTCTTTTGATGTTCCCTAGCCTAAAGATATGAAAAGATTACAACAAATGAATAAACACTGAGGAGCAGAATACTCAGTCCTGCACATGAGTCCAGTCTAGGGAGCGCCAAAAGTAGCCTTTTTCTTCTTTAAACCATTTTAACCCTATGTATTCCACTCTTGCTGATATGTAAGCTGCTACATAAAGTAAACAGCAGGAAGATGAAATCTTGTCACCCCCTGACACCTTTCCACACAAAACCACCCTGAATGAAAAGTCCTTCAGCTTGGCATCTGCCAGAAGTTCTCCTCAACCAGTGAAAGGTGAAGGTGTTGAGGAGGAAACCATACTATTTGAAAGAGCTGAGAGCTAACCTGCCAAAGAAGAAATTAAAAGAAAAAGCAAATATCTAAATGAAGGCAGAAGCTTTGCATCAACTGTGGGAATTCTTCTGACCTGCGGAAAAAAAAATGTGGCAGTAACTAAAGAAAAGAATCATAATTAATTGAAATACTAGACCTCAGAGGACAGATGAATAACTGCATAGGCTGTCAATGGAAAAGCTTTTCTCTCACTGAAGACTGTTATGACAGAACAACAAAATGATAGAATGGGGGACACAGAGGAAGATGATTTTATATATGGGACAACGTGATTTCATTCTGTGATGGTAGAGTTATAAAAATGTTCCATACCTAGATCTGCACCTGTTGTTCTTCAGTTTCACTTACTCATGTTTATTGCCTGAGAATTGCCTTCTTTCCCAAAACTGCATTCTAAAACCAACTCTGGTTTCTCTACTTCACTGTAGCTATAAGCTAACTCTGCTCAACCAACATCCCAGCCCCTCTCCTCAACTGTAAGAAATTAAAAAGAAAAAATATGTAAAGTGATTGGGATGTGAGCTTGTGTTTGTAGTGCCATCTGGGTGGCGGGAGAGGAAGGCAATAAACCATTGCAGAACATTCTGTTGTACATGGACCATTAGATGTAAAATGAAAGTATGATGTCTGCATGTTTAAATAGAGCAGAATCTGTTTTCAAATTAAACTAGAGATGCTGTAGCCACCTTCTGAATCTGGGCTTTGTCGATCAGATTGCTTGGGCTAGTTTCAACTTGCATAAGAAGTCTAAATTAAAAGCTTTCATGTATCTGCTTGCATACACAGACACACATCACTCCTCATGCACTACAGTGCAAGAGGTTAGAACAATGCTTTCTTCTGTTAGAAACCTAGTATCTGGCAATATAACATACTTGTTACAACCTCATACACACCAAAAATCAGTAAAGATTCGTAAGAAAAATCAGAATAGATAGGGAAGGTGAGGATTCAGGACTGTGGCTGGTAAATCTCTTTACTGCTTCAGCTGCTCTTGTATTTTCTTCTCAGAAGATGCCATAACACACGAATGCCGAATTCTGCCACACAGTGATTAAAAAAATACCATTCCTAGAGTAGTTTTACTTGTGATTAAAAGCACCCAAGTTATCCAAAACAAAGCCAAACAGGTGCTAATCTATATAACATACTTGAAAAAGGGGAAAAATGTTTTCTAAATGTCACCAAGCAAACCCAAAAAAATTATCTTTCTAGGAGACCTTGTAAAGCCAATACCTTCTCCACTGTAGACCACTTTTCTTGTGGCATTCTTTGTTTTACAGCAATCAGATATAACCAGAGTACTGACTGCTTATTGCTGCTTTTACTGCCATTACATTACCCACCATTATTTGAGTCCTTTGTTGGCTTTCATTCTGAGGACAGTAGTAAAATGCCAGCAGCCACAGCAAAGCATCTGGTTCTACAGCAGCCTTCAGTAGTTGTTCTGCCGCAATGTCCACCCATTCTCCAAAATGAGCAATCAAAACCCATATTTCAAATAGGTCAAGAGAACTGGAAAATAACAAAAATACAAGTAAGTATTTGTTGTTATTTAACTTTTTAATGTCTTAAGTGAACTTCAGAAGGTGCTGGCATGAAAATAAAACTCCTTGAACTACTCTTCAATGGCCAATGCTTTATTTGCTAAGCATACAGCCATGTACTACCCTGTTATCTGCAGTCACCATCAAATGAGACACACGCAGTACTACTTAGAGATTAACTGTCGGTAGAAATAGACTATCCACAACAGCAGTTTCTAATAAACTGTGACAAAATGCTATGCATTAAAATAGACATCAGAGACTTAAATTCTTTATACTCCCCATCTGAAGGAGTCTCAAAACTTATCTCAAGTATTGTATTCTAACATACTGTTGCCTTACATTGTCTTCCAGTTTCTCTCCGTTGCTTTCCAGGGTTATTTTCTGGCGTCTGGTAATATATGAGGCATGTGTTTTTTGGTAGTTCCCAAGTAATTACACTTAGATGGACTAAATATTAAGTTTTTAGGATATTCATCTCCTGACTTCTAAAATTCAGGTCCTCCTCAATGAAAATTATGAAGGTATTTACAACTAGGTTACTGCAGTAAAAAAGTGTAGGAATAAGCTGTGGTCCGTTCTCACCTTTCCCACATGTACTCTTTTAAAGCTAAGACTAAGGAAGAGAGAAGTACCAGGGAGATGCAAACTAATGGTAAGTGTCTCTGAAGCAAAAAGTGTGGAAGGAAGAACAGACAGAATGATGGCTGGAAGGAGATTAAGAACCAAGAACAATTACTGCTATTAAGTTTGTGACAAGTCTGAAGAATTAGATATTTTTCTTATCTTTTATTGCTGGGGACTCCAAGAGGTGCTGTGTCACCCTTCCCAAGAAAGTCCAGGGGATCTTAGAAATCTCAAGAGTTCACGAAGTTGCCTGGTCATAAAATCACAGAATCAGAGTGGTTTGGGTGGGAAGGTACCTTAATGACCACGGAGTTCAAATCCCCTTGCTGTGGGCAGAGACAATTCCCACTGACCAGGCTGTGGAAGGCCCCATCCAACCTGGTCTTCAACACCTCCAGTGATGGAGCATCCAGAGCTTCCCTGGGCAACCAGTTCCAGTGTCTCACCACTCTCACAGTGAAGAACTTCTTCCTTACATCCTTACCTACCCTCTTCCAGTTTGACCCATTACCCCTTCTCCAGTCACTACAAGCCCTTGCAAAAAGTTCCTCCCCAGCTTTCTTACCAGTCCCCGTCAGATACTGGAGGGCCACAATAAGGTCTCCCTGGAGCCTTCTTTTCTCCAGGATGAACAACCCCAACTCTCTCAGCCTGTCCTCATAGGAGAGGTGTTCCAGCCATCTGACCATTTACATGACCCTCCTCTGGACCCACTCCAACAGATCCATGTCCTTCTTGTGTTTGGGACTCCAGAGCCAGATGCAGTGCTCCCAAGTGGGGCCTCAGGAGAGCAGAGTAGAGGGGAAGAATCACCTCCCTTGACCTGCTGCCCACGCTTGTTTTGATGAAGCCCAGGATACGGTTGGCTTTCTGTGTGTCTCTTGGTGTTGTCCACAAACTTGCTGAGGGTGTACTTGATCACACTGTCCATGTCACTGACCAGGATCTTAAACAGCACCAGTCCCAGGACCGATTCCTGAGGAACACCACTCGTCACTGGTTTCCAATTGGACATCAAAGCATTGACTGCAACTCTTGAGTGTGGCCATCCAGCCAATTCCTTATCCACTGAGTGGTCCATCCACCAAATCCACATCTCTTCAATTTAGAGACCAGGATGTTATGCAGGACAGTGTCAAATGCTTTGCCTAAGCCCAGGCAGATGATGTCTGTTGCTCTTCCCTTATCCACCAATGCTGTAACTCCATCGTAACAGATGTAATGTAATGTCACCAAATTTGTCTGGCAAGATTTGCCCTCGGTGAAGCCATGTTGGTTGCCACCAGCCACCTCCTCATTTTCCATGTGCCTTAGCAGAGCCTTCAGAAGCATCTGCTCTATGATCTCACCAGGCACAGAGCTGAGGCTGACTGGCCTGTAGCTGCCCAAGTCTTCCTTTTTTCCCTTGATGAAAAGGGGCTTCCTTTTGTCCCTTTTCCAGTCAGGGGGAACTTCACCAGGCTGCCATCACTTTTCAAATACGATGAGAAGTGCTTTAGCAACTTCATCCACCAAGTTCCCTCACGACTTATGGATGGATCTTATCAGCTCTCATGAACTTGTACACTTCCAGGTTCTTGAGATGGTCTTAAAGCTGGTCTTCAGTGGATCTTCCTTTTCCCAGTCCCTGCCTTTGCTTTCTGCAACTTCTGTAGTGTGGCTAGAGGCATTGCAGTGAAGACAGAGACAAAGAAGTTACCGAGAAACTCAGAATTCTTCATATCTCTTGTGACCAGGTCTCCTGTTTCCTTCTGGAGCAGGCCCATATCTTCCCTAGCTTCCTTTTCAATGACATACTTGTGGAAGTTTTTCTTGTTACCCTTGATTTCCCTGGCCATGTGTAACTTTATCTGGGCTTTAGCTTTCCTAACCTTATGCCTTTCTGCACAGACAACTTCTTTGTATTCCTCCCAGGCTCCCTGTCCTTGCTTCTGCTCTCAGTAGCCTTTCTTTTCCCATCTAAGTGTTTCCAGGAGCTCCTTGCTCATCCATGCAGACCTTCTGTCACTGTTGCTTGTCTTCTTCTAAGTCCAGCATAGCCCCTTCTCTTGTTTGTTCCTCTGTCACTTGGAGAAGGAAACTGCCATCAATGGATTCCAGGAGCCTCCTGGATTGGTGCCCTGCTGTGCAGTCCATCCAGCAGATATTGGGGTGGTTGAAATATCCCACTAGGATGAGAGCTTGTGAAGCTGATGCTGCTCCTAACTGTCTAGAGAGGGCTTCATCTGCTCCATCTTCCTAGTCAGGTGGCCTGTAGCAGACCCCCATTATGGTATCACCTTCACCTGCCTTCCGTTTAGCTCTGACCCACAAGTTCTTGGTCAGCTCCTCATCCATCCTCAGGCCAATTTCTATGGACTCCAGCTGATCACTGACAGAGGGGATGACACCCCTTCCTCTTCTCCCCTGCCTGGCTGTCCTAAAGAGCTTGTATCCAACTATTCCTATGCTTCAGTCATAGGAGCCATCCCACCATGTCTCAGTGATGCCAAAAACATCACGGCTCTGCAGGCACGTGCACGTCTGTAACTCTTCGTTTGTTCCCCATGTTCTGCTCTCTTTGTTTGCATAGAGACATTTAAGCTGCTCCCTCACTGGAGCTGGTACTTCATGTGCTCTCTTGCTGGCCTGTGATCCTCGTCCAGGCCCAGGGCATCTGTTTCTGTCATTGGCCTCAAGGTGGGGTGGATTGATGGGCCCCGCCAGCCCCCAGAAGACCAGGTTTCTCAAGGTGAGACTTGTGGTCTAAGTAGCTGAAGCCCTGGCTGTGGCACCATTCCTGTAACCAGTTATTGATTTTAGCAGTTTGATTGGCCTTTTTAAGCCCATCCCTTTGACTGGGGGGGTTGATGAAAGTCCTTATTGCACTCATGAGACCTTCACCACCGCTCCCAGGGCTCTGTAGTCCCTCTTGGTACTCTTCAGGTTGCTTCTAGCTGTATCACTGGTGCCCACGTGAAACAGCAGCAGTGGGTAGTAGGGGGTTGGACATACAAGATTTGGTCCTCTCTGTGACATCCTTGTTACGAACCCCCAGTAAGCAGTAGAACTCTCTAGAGAGAGAATCAGGTTGGCAAACGGCTTCCTCTGGACCTCTCATAAAGGAGTCACCTACTACTGTCTCTCATCACTTTCTTGGCTGCACTAGTTGTTACACATGGAGCCAATCTGGCTGTCTTACTTGGCTCTGAGGCACTGGTTTTTTCCTCTTCAGTCTGCAGAGCCATGAAACAGTTCTGCACGGGCACTTAAGGCTTTGAGGGAGGTCTCTTCCTCCTGCTAATTCTTACCTCTACCAGTTTCCAGTTCTCAGCATTGCTGGGTTACCCCTGTCTGGGTGTGCTGCTGGGGGACTTTTTGGCTGCTTGGCCATAGGCTGTAGGTTCACTGTAGATCGCCCTTCAATCTAGCTGTCTATCTCCTCTGCCTCACTGATGCTACTAGTCTTTTGACAATCTCTTGCAGCTAAGCCACCTGCTGCAGGAGGTCCTCCACCTGGGCATACCTTTTCTAGGTGGGTTTGCCATCCATCCCCGGAAATATCTAGACACTTCCTGCAGTCCTGCACGGCAGCCTCTCCCTTCAGCAGCTCCATCTGGGTGGAGGCATTCGTCACCTCTGGGATGGGTGGTGCAGACCTCCCCAGCCTGCGCAGCAGCCTTTGCTCTGAGTGTTGACAATTTTGCCTTGAGGGTCAGTTAGGATGATAGCCCTTGGTCTCCTGAGCTGGCAGAGCTTCAGTGCCCTTCTGCTCAAACTGCCACGCAAACTGCCGCACCACGCCTTTTGCCTGCTCTCTCCAAGTGCTTCCTTTATGGGCGTGGGGGTGGTCGCCATTGCCCTGTCAATGCCCAGGCCTTGTCAGCCTCTCGCACCAGGACCATTGGCTCCTGGTGGGTCTTTGCGTTCCCCTGGCATTTCCCTACTACAGGAAAACCTTGGAAAACCCCCTATACACTGAGATCTGCCACTCCACTGCTGGCTGAGCTGGTCCCGAAGCAGCGGATCTCAGTGACTGCTGCCATCATATCATCCGGGGAACATGACATGGTCATAGTTGGAATACACTGCTTTATCTTTAAGACCTTCTGGAGAGGTGGGAGGCACAGTTTTATGGATGAAGCTGTGGTGTGTGCAGACAGTATTCTACATCGGAAGTGTACTGGGGACATAGTCTACAGGTGTCCCAGAGATTTTCGATCTTGAGAATGATATTGTCTATATGCCACAGAATCTTAGGGTCTCAAAATCCTATTCCAAGGACAAAAATCTATCACATCAGTATTTCTAGATAAGTATAATCACTGACATCAGACATAAGAGGTTCACACAGAGTCACAGCGAGAAAAAGGGAGTACTGAGCTGTTTGCCACAAAAGTCACCACTTCTGCAGCTTTTTGAGGGGCAGCAGCATGGCTCAGGCTGCTGGGAACTAGAGGTGTGTGACAAAACCTGAGACTAAAATTCCTTAGCTAAAAAAATAGGATCAGCACTGGTGAAGGCTTTGAAGATACTAGAATCTGGAAATGCAATGTTAAAAACCTTAAAAAGACAAGAAATGTGATAGTGACCTAGGACAACAGCCTTCCCTTCGGCAAAATAATCTATTTATCTGACCACAATTCAATGCTGTGACAATGTAAGTGGACAGGCTAGCTTTGAAACCTTGTGATTTACTATCAAGTATGAAATTTATTTAAAAGGTAATTACTGCAAAAAGCTAACTATACTTAGGATAATATTGAATGTATTTATGACTGAAGCGTTCATGGCTCAAAGGGTAAATACAAGTCCTTAAACTTTAAGCATTAAACTAATTTTAAGAGGTATTTAGCAGAACAAAATTTAATTCTTGCCTTGAGAGCCTTGAAACCTCTGCGTTTACAAGTCACCACAACTTTCCTGTACCATCAAAGAACCTGGGTAGGAGTCATGTACTTTCTGCTTCTTCCACCACTGTTGTTTCTGATGGCCCTGTAGTGGCACCTACGTCAATGGCTCCACTGTTGTTGCCAAAAGTGGCCCCTCACTTTTTGTAGGACCTCCCCCACAAAATGTACATCAGTTGCTTTCTAGTTAAAATGTCACACAACATTTACTGTTCACCTAGATGACTACAAATAATAATAAATCATGGCATGGAAGCAATCTGTTGATTAGAAGTAAACAGAGAGTACCTTGCTGTAAGACTTACCTTTGGTGTAACGTAAAACCATTGAAAAACAAGCCATATAAACCAAGGCCACTGCCTGTAAGCAGCAAGAGGCTATGCTGTATAGTAATTTTTTTTCTTCTCTTGTTAATCTTATTAAGCAGAAAGGAATCGGGAATAAAGCAATAAGAGAAAACTGTATTCAGTTTCCTCATAGATAATAATATTTAAAGACTTAAGCCAGATCCATTTTCTCTGTAACTGGGAGGTGTTTGGTTGAAAACATAATTCTTGCATAGGTTCCAAAGGAAGTAAGAGGATATTCTGGCAAGTACAATACTATTCAAACTAGTGTACTATAAAAGCAAAGGTAGAAAAAGACAATATAAGCCAAGAAAGGGCTAGTCAACAAACGGAGATCAGATATGCCTCTATTATAGTAACATATTACAATGGATGATATTTGTTTTATTTGTTTGTTCTAAGTTGACTTATGTGTTTCTTTAGTAAGCTGGGGTCAGCTACTGGTCACCAAGGGTGAAAAAGCTTTGATAGACTTCAGGGATGAACCAGCAAGACATAGCACTGAACTGCAGCTCATACAGAAACTGAGAGGCTGCCAGCAGACAGCCTGGCCTCAGCGAGAACAGCAAAAAGGCTTCTTCTGCCACTCAGCAACAAAAATAAGCTCCTATGAGTTAGCAGAAACCAAGCATGGATGCAAGTATTTGTCTTCCAGGACACAGAAGGACAGTTGTGTATCCTGTTTTGCAAGTCTATCCAGCCTAGGCATTCTATGTTTCCATTGAAGTATTTCAGGTTTTCAATCAAAATTAAATTGGTTTCTTTGAATTTAAAAGCTGTACAACCTTCTTTGGAAAGCTCCCTCGGAGCAGATCTAAGCAAACTCATATCCAAGCTCTGGCTAAGTCAGGTCTCATTGTGCACCTGATAAGAAAGTATTACAGGGTGGTAACAGAGAGAGATGTATCTTTTTTCATTCTTTTCCTAATGTCCTAAAGCATCTACTACCAAAATTCATGTAAACAAATACTATAATTTGTTATAGCAACTATCCGGACAAAAAAGAAGCTGAGTGCAACAAGTCAGAATCAGCTCAAAAAGTAAGATAACAAACAATGATACTGCAGCCTAGTAGTCATATCTTTATGCGAAAAATCAATAAGTTTGAAGTTCAGATGTTTGCACAGGCTTGCAGAAGGCCAGTGCAAGATCCTTCATAAAACAGTTCTGCACAGAACTGTTTCTTTCCAGTACTAGCTGTTTCTCTGGTTGGAAGAATTCTCTTGTTATTCAATACAGTTTTAAAAGTTTTGGGGGAGCAATGGGAGAGTAGGCAAGCAAGCACTTCTGTTACACAGCTAGCAATTTTCTGAAATGAATGACAAGATTTTGTTTGCTCCAAGAGACTTAACTGTGTTACACAGCTAGCAATTTTCTGAAATTAATGACAAGATTTTGTTTGCTCCAAGAGACTTAACTGGTCAGGTCTATAGGTGTTACCAAGCTCAGGTTCAGTAAGTAATCTAAGTCCTAGTCTCTAAAACAAAGACCTATTAGAGAACAATAAAATGATTAAATGTAGCCACCAAAGACCTCAAATGACACGACTTCTCACAAAGCAACATATGCAGAGGAGAAAAAGTTAGAAAATATAACACTGCTTACCTAATGTTTGTATCTTCTACTAATGCTTTGAGCATATCTGAAATGTGTTTCAAGTGTTGAGACCAGTGTGTAGTTGGCAGTTCTGAGGAGGGAGGATGAAAAAAAAACTCTTAACATTCTAGTTTCTTCAACTAGAAAAGAACACTGAAATTAACCATATTAAGCTAGCATTAAAATTTGGGCACCTTGCTTCAGTTATCACAAAGCATTTTAAATTTAATTTTACAATTTGCCAGTTTTCAACAATACCTATTTCTGTGTTTCTTAGAACAATTCATTGGCAAAGCTGTGTGAGGAAGTACAGTTAGGAATATTCAAATAAAGTTGAGGTACCCTTATTTAAATGCTACCTTGATAAGCATATATAATTAGCGTACTAGCATTCTCAGAGGTTCTTGTACCAAGCTCAAATTATTGCTCATTAAAAGATGTGCCATAATGAAACTTGAAAAAAAAAAAGTTAGGTTTTCAAAGTAGAATATCAGCAGAATTCAAGCTTCAGTGACAAAAGGCAAAGCTATTTCTCATAATATATATATGAAAATTTTCATAATGGCAGTTACTAATATTACAAAGTAAGAATATTTAGTATTTTTACAATATCAGTAACTTGTCTTCTTTCCTTCAAAACTATCACTTCTGGTTTAGATTTCTCCAAAGATGACATCTGTAGCATTGCTACATAAAAATTAAATGTTTCTGAAAAAAAATACATTAAAAGAAAATTATTAAAATCGCTAAGTTAACACACCCTATTTGAAATGGTTAAGATTTTGTCTTCATCCCCTTTTAAAGTTATTTTAAAAAATAATACAGATCATGCAGGTCAGCTAAGGCTGCAAATATTTAGTGAAGAAACTTACCAAATGGACGTCTGAGTAAAGCTGTAACAAGAGGCTGGTGATGGTAAGGGAAGTAGGCCTTCAGCGGAAATTTATGCTAAGATACAAAATCACTATTTTAAAAGCTTTCGGATCAGTTTTCAAAACAAATCCACAGTGAACAATCTCATCTAAGGTAGCAATTAATAAAGACCAGAACAAAAGAAAAGAAACTTTACACTTAATTTTAGGATTTTGCATAAAGAAAGAAGGGGGGTATTTAGGAAAAGCTTGCTAACAAAAAGGGATTATCTATGGATTTTTAAAATACAAGCATTAAAAAAGATTTGGATTATGAAGAAAATTACATCTTAATATTCTTAGGCTTTTCTCCTGTAATCACAAAAGTCTTTGCTTTTACTATGCAGAGGTTAAAAAAAAACTAATTAGTTTAATTTCATTTTCCAGTGCAAACATGTTCATGGATCATATCAAACAGAATTAATATCATCTACAAAGTCTGAGGGTGTGATGCAGATTATTGCCTTCTGTTCAAAAAATGCAAACGTAAAATTATTGGGATCTGATTCAGCACAAGGTAGGGCAGTCATAGGTAACAGACTTGTCCTCTATTTATCTGGGCACGTGCGATTTGTGTACTTTGACCTTTGCTGCTTGGGTAATTGAGACTAGCAGCAGAACACCTTTGATCTTTTTGTTCTGCAAACATTTGCTAGAGGCACGTCTGATGCATAGCATGCATGTGCAAGTGCAGCACAAACTCCCCTTCAGGTGGACTGAAAGCTGTCTACGCCTGTGATCAGTGACCCAAAGTCTGGCTGGAGGCCAGCCACTAGTGGTGTACCCAGGGGTCGATGCCAAGTGCAGTCCTGTTTTACATCTTCATTAATGACCTGCATGATGAGGCTGTGTTCCCTCAGCTACGTTGTTAATGACACAAAACTGAGATAAGATATGCCAGAGAGTCATGCTGCCACCCAGATGGAACTTGCTAGGCTGGAGCAGTGGGATGACGGGAAGCTCGTGAAGAGTAAGGAGAAACTATAAAGTCCTGCACCTGGAAAGGAACAACTCCAGGCACCAGTACGTGCTGGGAGCCAACTAGCTGGAAGGCAGTTTTGCAGAAAACAACCTGGTGGACACAAAGTTGAACATGACCCAGCAATGTGCCCTTGCTGCAAAGGCAGAAAACAGTATCTTGAGCTGCATATAGACAAAGGGTTGCCAGCAGGTCAAGGAAGGTGATCCTTCCCCTCTCCTCAGCACTGGTGAGCGGCTCCTTTATACATGAAAGACATGGACATAATGAAGAGAGTTCAACAAAGGGCCACAAGGATGATGAAGGGACAGAAGCATCTCTCTTCTATGAAGAAAGGCTGAGACAGCTGGGACTGTTCAGAATGGAGAAAAGAAGGCTCAGTGGGGATCTTACCAATGTAAATAAACACTCGAAGGGAGGGAGCAAAGATGATGGAGCTAGGCTCTCTTCAGTGCTGCCCAGTAACAAGACCAGAGGCAATGAGTATGAACTGAAACACAGGAGGTTGCCTCTGGGTACCAAAGGGTACCAGCTTTACTGTGAGGGCGACCAAGCACGGGCACAGGTTGCCCAGAGGGGTTGTAGAGTCTCAGTCCTTGGAGATATTCAAAAGTCAACTGAACATAGTCCTGAGCAACTGGTTCTAGGTGACTCTGCTTCAGCAGGGGCTTTGGACAAGATGACCTCCAGAGGTCCCTTCCAACCTTAGCCACTCTATGATTCTCTCATTTCAGTCTTCATGTCTCCATACCAATGACATTAGAACCCTTCTGTCTCCCTTCTTTAGGAACAAGAGACTATTTAGCAAACAGATCATCTCTTGAAACACAGACCGGGAATACAGACCCTAAAATGAGATAAATTTCTAAGTCCAATGAAGACCATATTTAGTAACTCATTTCTTTTGGGGTGTACATGCACGCATCTTGTAAACAAATGGAATGACACATTCTCCCTCTACTCAGTTTTTTGTTCTGCTGACAACAGTTACCTGAAATTACAGCACACTAACACAAACAGTATTCTCAGACAGCCCATGCACCACTGGTATGGTACAACTCCAGAAGTCTACTTGTCAAGTGGAACTAGGTTAATTAAAAATTAATAATCCCTATACTCAAGTATGCACGTAGCCAATTAGCTTGCACCAAAAATCCACATGAAGAAGCAGCCTTTGACACAGTTAGTAGGAGCCAAGACAACCCACAGCATGAGTTACATAGGGAAACAGTACTGTAAAGTAAGTGAAAACCAGTTCTGATATACTGTTTAAACAAAGCAGAAAATGTTTGCATCCCATCATAAGCCCACAGTATTTCAGGCACTTCTTTCCTTATATAACCCATCACAAACTGCAAAATTAGGTACAAAAAGACAGAATGAGTTTGAATGTGGCTAGTTGTAATAAAATGCTGCCATGTTGTATAACAGGAAATAAAAGTTGAACACTGGCTTAAAATATTTATCCAGCTATTTAAAATAAAGTTCCCAGATGAAAACTACTGACAATTCTGAAATGATCAAGGAAAAATAATTCTAGAGGAAATTATAATTTCCATCAAATAAAGACAAAACCTTTAAGTTCATAAATTTACAAGCAACGTGACCCAAATATCCTTAGGTCAGCTTTTACTACCACCACAAACTTGAAGAAAATTTGCTTGTACAAAACATGGGAAAGATTTTCCCAACAGTGATCTCAGCACACCCATTCTTAAATTTCTTATCCAATGACTACAAAATTGTATTGTTTGCTAAGTATGTTTAAACCAAATGTTACATTTGTACCTTTTTCAGCCTCCCAAGTAATAAAGAAAACAGGACTATTCCTAGACCCTGTAGCACTGTTTGTTCACACCCTTCAGCTTGTTCACTCTGAATGGTTTACAATATTATTAGCTAAAACAGCTATCTCTGTCAGTTGCCACACTGCAACAGAAAGTTGTTCTCCTGCTACCTTCCAAACCTGTGCAACTGCCAGACATGACCTGGTTATTTTGAAATGTTTTTGAACACATCTCTTTGCCTAGTCTTTTTTCAATTAACTATACTATAAATTCCTAAGGTCTCAGATGACCCAGCCAGAAACCTCTTCATCCTCTGTCATTAATGGTTTTACCATTCCTCTGTGAAATGTTAATGGAACACATTATGTCCTGTCAAGGGTATCCACATACCATAAAGATGGGTGCCTTGCGAATACATATAATATTGCTATGACAAAAAATATGATCTGACTGATCTAAACAAAGTTTAGGAAGCAGTCTGTGCCTGCATTTTTGTATGTCAACTCTTAGTTAACATTATGGTTGATTAATAAAACATGAAACAAGGGTTTAAATTCTAATACTGAAGAGAATACCTTAGAGTCCTATGAATTAATCTGCATACAAGTTAAATAGAAAAAACTTAACATTTAGCAAAAAAGTGGACAATAGTCCAACAGTGCCAGCAGGTGAAGGGCTTTCACGCTGAAGCAAATACATCACCTGCCAACAGGAGTAGGGAACTTTGAAGCTTTTGACTGGGGCAAGGCCACTGTTGAAGACCAGAAACCGAAACCAGTATGTATTCTGTGTCTTTTACATTCTGAACAGAAAAATCTTACTATTTGATATCATACTTAAAATTTTGGGGGTGAATGGCAATTGATTTATTATCTCTGTTTCAACTATTATAAGAAATCTGCTACTACAAAAGCAAAACACATCTAAAATTTTTCTTCGTTTCTATCAAAGATGAACGATCATGATCATGTCCATGAAACTTCAGCACTAGGGGAACTGCCCCTGTGAAAATCATAGTTTAGGTCGCAGGATTACTCCAGGGTAAAGTCAGGTAAATTGCTCTTACTTATTGGTTTCACAGTATAATTTTATTCATAGGTGAAAATATTTGAACTAACTTTGGCATGTATATACAGCTGTAGAGGGATGCTATTATTTAGCTCATTATATTCAGCCACCGTTCTTACCAGTAGAATTGTTCTTTTCTTGTGAAATTTTATATCTTCTCATAGAGCAAAAACATTAAGAAACAGAGCTTGACTAACCTGCTTGTTTTCATTCTGAAAATCCTGAAGGAAGAGCTGTGTAAACACTTGTATTATGGTCATAATTTCTGAAGTTCCATCAGTTTCCAGCAGTGCATTCCTAAGCATTGAAAAGTGAGATTTTTAAAAATGAGTGAAAAGTGAGTGGTTTTAAACTGAAGGAGAGTAGGTTTAGACTGAAACTTAGGAAGAAGTTCCTCAGTACGAGGGTGGTGAGACTCTGGAATAGATTGCCCAGAGAGGCTGTGGACAACCCCTCCCTGGAGGTGTTCAAGGCCAGGCTGGACGAGGCCTTGAGCAACCCAGTCTAGTTGAGAGGAGTCCCTGCCCATGGCAGGGAGGTCGGATGAGATGATCTCTAGGGTCCTTTCCAACCTAAGCCACTCTGTGATTCTAAGAGATTATGACAGATCAGGTAATTAGTCTGCCTGTCACACCACTGTTAAGTGAAATGAAGAAGAAAGAGAATATTCTTTGTATGCTGTAGATTCAAGCTGTGTCGGAGCTCATTATGCCAGTGTGGAAAGTGACAAATACTAACTCTGCAGGCTTTCAAAATGCTATTTATACTTCAAAAAACCATATGCAGCTCCTACAAATAAGCTAGATTTGGTAAATTTATACAATATACATGCAGACATACAAAATTTACCCTACCAATACGGGTAAAAATAGTGTAAAATTATAGAAGAAACTACTGCATTATTATTAGACAAATTTGGTACCCTGAACAGTGTTACTAGGTTCAGAGCAAAAATTCCCATGCCTACAGTAAAGCATACTTCAGTGCTTTGTGGGACTGTTTCCCATATGCCATCTCAAACTAGAGAGAAAATTCAAACTCGTACAATCTGGAGAAAAAAAAATTGTACCAAAGGCATACTTTAAATCAGCGATTGCTCCTGATTTAATTGGAAACCAATGCATTTCAATCTGCTTTCAATGGTGAAATCATAAAATCCACCCTGGAGGTTCAGGAAGGTGAATGCTCTAACTGGCCTTCCACAGGGCATAATGTAACCTTGAGCAAATGGAGCAGAAAAACACATGGGCAGCAAAGCATAATTTTAGTTCTCTATTTTGACATGCATGTAATATGTAACAGTAAGGAGGAAAAAATGTTCAAAAGTAAGCTGCCACTGAGATACTTTTTCACTAGAAATTGTTCTTTCCACAGTGATCTAAAAGATAAGAAAAGCTAATACATTAGTGCAACAGAGAAATTCACAAAACTACAGGCATATATAATCTCTAATATAAATACAAGAAATAGTAAAACTCAAGACAATTTAGGTGTATGTCAGTCACTAAATACATTATTGTTGTATCAAAACTGTAATACTGCCAGCTCCAGCAGTAGATCTACTTAAAAATAGCAATAAAAAAAATAAATCAAGTGAATTGAAGAAAAAAAGCTACTGAAAACTGACCACAGAGGACTGGAAGCCCCCATGTGGTAAACAATGTACATTGCTTCACAATAATCTTAATACATTCAAAATCAAACTCATTATTAACAAGCAGATCAATAGTTTAATGTCATTAATAGCATATCTGATATAAAATCTGAAGACTAGTAGTAGAATGTAAAAGAGGCTACAATGGTTAAGGGCAAATGCTTTAGGTAAATTCCATCTCCACGCTGGTATGGGCCAAGCCATTTCAGCAGTTATAACTTTGACCTCAAAATCTTATTTCAGCCACAAATCTCTACCAAAATACCAAATAAAATACCCGTTTTAAAGGCTAAAATACAATATAACCAACTATATTAATGATTTTTACAATGTAACTGTTATGTAAAGTTCACAAGATTTTCAACATTTGTCATTATTTGTAGTATATTACACAGAAGGGGACATAAAGGCATACAAGTAAAGAAAAAGAATATTTTGACATTATAGTACACCCCAGATTATAAGACTTCCAATGAAGAAAAGTTTAATGGTTAGACAGATCATGTGAAACATTTCCCATTACATTCTGAAACTTACTTGAAAATTTCATTAACAATTCTGAAAATGGCAGGATGGCTTGCTGCTTGTGGCTGTTGATAAATGAATGGAAGAAAATCAGTCATTAATAAGAAACAACTCAGCTGCCACTGTATAATTTACGGCATAACTCATGGATGTAATTACACTGCAATTTACTTTATATTGTTGCCTTTGTCTTTAATACTGCTGCACATAATACAGGGGAAAAGGCTTTTTTTCCCCTATATTATCTTCTGTGAATTGCAGAGTTGTTATTCAAGCTAAGTATCTCAGTACATAAATTTTTTTTTTACACAGTTTTTTTTTTCAACGCGGGAAGCTTCTCATCATGCTACAACAAAAACAGAGACTGTTTTAAGAAACTTGTTACGTTAAACGTGCTCTAGTAAAGACTACTTTCGAATCCCACATTCTTAAATTCTAGCATTTACTAGGCTTTTATAGAGCACCAAGAATAAAAAACTACTTACACATTTCCCAAAGTATATTTGCCTAAGTTAAAAAACAAATTCATGCTTCATGTTTCTGAAGTTAGCACCCGAAGGTTTAATAAGACTATAGTTCTTGAACAATCTACAGTAATGCATGTTTAATTAAATGCATTCTATAAACTTAAGGATGCATGGAAGGAATAACATTTATAAATTGTATTTATTGTAACAGATTTAAGTGCCCGATGCACTATTGCGAAGCAAACTTTTATGTTTGTGTCAAGCTAAAAAGTACCAAGTAGCATTGACTTTTTTTTTCCTTTCTCATTGCACACTGGCACAATGAAGACTTCATATGACCCCTACATGGCAATCACAGCAAATAGGCAACCTTTAATACACCGTGTTTAGAAAAGCTTCTTGTTTCTCACAGTTGTCTTTGCCATACTGTCTTTGCCATACTGGATATATTAGGAGGCACATCATTTTCCTGTTTTATCACACACAGGGCTGTAGCCGAGCTGTCCTGTTGAACGTATGCCATCTAGTGTTAGAGAGCACTTACAGCCAGTTGTTTGGATGTGTGAAGAACAGCACACAGCTTATTGCAAGGCTGGTCCCCAAACTTCCACTACTAGAGGGAGAAAAAAAAGCTTGGCTGGATGAGACAAAAAAGAGGCACATTCATCTCTTTTTTTGTGAAAGGAAAACCGGAACTAGATGATCTGCAGGAGTTCCTTCCAACCCAAACCGTTCTGCAATTCTGTGAATACGGTGGAAAGTGAGAAGTACGTTTCTCAGTCCTGTGGGCTAAATGATTGGTTGAATTCAGCCATTTCTCCACTGTCTTTTCAGAAACTCTACCTACCTTTGCACACATAAAATCACGTACCAATCCACTGTTGCTTAAGTTCAGTATAAAACAGAAATAATCCATCAGCACATTGTCACACATAGCAAGATCGAAGCATAGTTCTTTCCAACAAGACCAAAATAAATGTGCCACATGCAACAGTGAAACCCCCCACCCCTTCCTGCCAGACAGCAGCAGTCTACACTACTCACTACAGGGAATCACAGTTCATAGCTCCTACTACTTGATCTACACTATTGAAATTAATATGAATTTCATCACTGGCATTCAAAAGGTAAAATAACAACAACAAAAAACAACCCCAAACCCCACTGTCACTTAATTCTACAAGATTTTCCTAAGTGGACTGCATGGAATTAATTTGCAAGCACTCAAAGTAAGAATGGTATTGTAGCACAAAAGTCTCCGAGGCAATTTGAAGAAATGCCTGTTGTGTAGCAGGACTAGAGAAGCCAGCACAACTCCACTCTGGCCAGCAGCAATTCTGGAGCTTGAGAGGGATTATCAGTTTCAGGAGGTATTCTCACAGCCTTTTCATATAGTTGATGTTACCTCCTTATGTTTTTTAAATAAAGTGATATTTTAGATTTTAAATAACAAAAAGAATAAGAATAAGAATAAGAATAAGAAAAAGAATAAGAATAAGAAAAAGAATAAGAATAAGAAAAAGAATAAGAATAATCTTGCCTATGACTATGCAGTATTTTTCATAGAAAGGTCAGAAAACCTAATGTACTGTCTACCAGAAGCTTGTTCAATCATTTTTAAAACTAGCAGAATACATACAGCACAAAACACACTATCCCCAAAAGACCCAAACACAGGGAACTAGAGCTCCATGTTTGATACTATGTTTACACATATTAAGAATGTGTGCATCTCCAGAAAAACAAAAACCACAAACCACAAGAACACTGGGATTTTTTAAAGAAATAAAATAGGAAAAGTGTACTGTAACATAAAGGATTACATATGCAAGTTCTACAGAACAGCACTACATTTGTATCTGTATTATCAGAAGGAATTTTATATTTACCAATAAAATATAAGAAATGTCACTTTTTTTTCTTATAGCAAGTGTCCAATTTGTTTTTATTTTGAAGCGTACACTTATTTTGAAAGCACAGACATCTTTTCACAGGGGTTTAAAAAAGCTCCTGAATTCAGTAACATTATGAATATATTAGCATGCACTGTTTCAAAACACAAGTTCTGAAGTCAGGCAACAATGTGGGAACTAATCAGAACTTAGCTGGCATGTATTACAACATGGAGAAAAGCTTCTCATTTTCTCTTTCTATCCTTCCTCCTTTCTCTCCCCCTAATGCCTGTTTCTTTGGCACAGATCCCCATGGATCCAGGTAGACTCAGAACTTGGGGATAAGGCACAGCAAGAGGGCAGTGCACGGGCATGGGAACCAGAGCAGTCTCCAGCTTGGTATCCCATCAGGCAACACAAGAGTCACCAAATCACCCACTAAAACTGTATTTGCTCCGTAATGCTGAAGCAAAAATAACAGATGGGGAGACCCCACAGCTAGAGCTTTAACTGCAGAGGGCAACGTAATTTCAACGCTGGGAAAGCTGGCAAAACAGAAAAGTGGAAAAAACAGAAACAATTTTTTCAGTGGAAACACAGAACACAGCAATAACAGATGGTTTATAAAGGAATAGCCAACAAACTTTAAGCCCTCCCAACCTACTGCAGTTTTCTTGCAACGTAACTTTGAAAGAAATAAAGCTACTTTGGAGAGCTATCTAATGATGGAATACAGCTATAATTGACAGCAATTAATCCACATCCCTTTTTAAATACATATGCTTTAAAAACCTGTTTATATACATATCTGTGCATTTCTGGTAAAGCAGAAAATTCTAATATGTGTATTTATTTAAATTTTAGTTGTTAACACCGACATACAAATGTTAAAGTCAATTCTGAAAGTAAGACATCCACTCACCCACCAATGTCTGAAGAAGCTAAAAGACCGTTTGTGATGCTCTCTTCCCTTGTTTTTATTACTTTTGAATAACTACAGAATTTACAATATTAATTCTAGCTTAGCCCAAAAACCACAAACCTAATAGCACACCATATAAAACAGAAGTTAGTCGACCTACCACACTACAATTACCCTTGGAATAAAAATGTGAGGAGTATTGTGTATCAAGTTTCTTTTATGACAGAAGTATAGGGTTTTACAACTATCTGGGTACCATAGATATCTATGAGGTTCATGTACAGTTTCATTAACTGAATCAAGGTATTTATTTACAGAAATTATTCTGATAAAGCAATTATGAAAGAGCTTTTTCAGATTTCCTTTTTATCATATCACTAACATATTTTTGCCTATTTGTAGTTTGGGTTTTTTCCAAATAGAAAAAAATGTATAAATTAAGTTTTGCCTCATGATTCCACTTTTTATTAGCATATCCATAAGGCCAACAGAGCCCACATCCTACAAATACCATAATCTTAACTGCCAAAAATATATATACCCACATTTCTAAATAAATGTTCAAATATCTTTCAGGCAGGCTAAATTAATCATACTGTTGGATTCAAAGTGATCATCGATCTAATGTTGCACAAGTATCTTTACAGCATCGTGTGCAAATTACAGAAAATATCGTTAAGTATTTTAAAATACCATTTCCAGATCAAATATTTTCCTTCTATACTGCCTCTCTGAAGCTTCTCGTCCTGTTGTTTTTAACTGGCATGACATCTCCCCTCTATGCACCCTTCATTTTATCATGCCTATCAATCAACAATATCCATTTTCCAACAGCTCTCTTCTTTCCATTCATTCCACTGCTTGTCCACAGGATGTCCTCTCTAAACCAGTATTCAACGCTGCTGCACTGGTCTTTCTAGTCCATGAATACCTTATTTTGAAATCATCAAGTCTTTGGAGCAGAGGCAAGTAAGGACAACATAAGTGTGCTAGCACAGTAATGTTCCAATCTTTTCAGGGATCAGGATGTGAAGACAACGTAAATATGAACATTGTTAATAAACACCAATAAACCAATAATTAAAACAAAGGTTTTACTTCTTTTCATGTATAACCTAGATATTTAACTTTTTTTCCTCAGCCACATGTGCTACCATGTGCTGTATTCAACTCAGTGCACCTGATACAGAAAAATTAGGCACAGGCCTTATATATAGCCTTGTTTTCTGGAACATGTAGCTCTCCAGATGACATATGAATTGTTGATGCTGAACATTACAAAATCTGCAATTATTATAATGGATCCCTAAAACAGAAATTTGCAGATTCAGTTAAAAAGGAAGACTACTGTTTTCCTATCTAGAATACACACTCTGCAACCATTTCATAGGCTGAAAATAAGACAACACATGCCATTTTTTAGTTCTAACCATTTTATGAAATACATCATTTAATTGAATTTCACACATGCCATTTCACACTATAATTAATAACTCAGTTCACATTTAGTGTTGCCAATTAGCTCATTATTTTGGAAAAGGCATTGTGCCACGTTTTCTCATAAGAAAGAAAGATTTTTGGTGCACCGTGTAACACAGCATTTGAAAACAAACTTTAATTACAGCCTAGTTGTATTAAGAATCTTATTCAGGTTTGCAATAAAAGCAAGTAACTTAGCAGTCCATAATAAAATAATCTACAGGGAATTTCAATTGTTAAACGACTAAACTCCCAAAGGCACAGATCCTGAAGTGAAAACAGATTCAAATTCTCCCTGGCCAAAGTTTGTGGTTTCGGGTACTTGGCACCTGTACCCGTCAAATTCTCGTCTCTTCATACATTCTTCCTCACTGGATGAAATCTTTTTTCTCTCTCCTAACAGTTCAGTGTAAACCCTACAAATTTAGTGATATTTGTAAGACTCAAGATTAGTCTTTGCAACAGCAAGCTGTATGACACGACAGCCACTTCCCTCAAACACGCTGACCTACCTGCAAACCCTCTGTCACTTCTGAAGCACGCCAGAGCAGCGTCAGGCACACTACATGTTGCACATACCAGTAACGAGTCTTTTATGACTCCGGCCACTTCTTCCAGTGAGTTCAATGGCATGGAAGTCAGCTGGTCTAACAGATACAACGTAGCTTTTTCAAGGCTTGGTAAGTGGCGAAGCCAGAGGCTGAAGACAGCTGATTCAGGGAGGGAGATCTTCCTCCTGTTTTAGAGAGAAAAGTACAGTTTTCCCTCGGAAGGAAAACAAAACTGTACTATTTTTTAAAAGCACATCTGAGAAAAAGATGACACAAAGTTCAACCTGCAGCAAGAGAAAAAATCGTATTTGTAGCATTCTGCTCTATATCAAATAATAACAGCACAGAATAACAGGGAATCGCCATCATCTTACCACAGGTCTTTAAAAATCTAAAAATTTGGTTATGATGGAGCCTGGCAAATGGAGACAGGGTTTAAGTCTGCTGTTGCCTTCCTCTACAGAGAAAGGTCCTGCCCCACACTTGTGCTTTCAAATCCAGGCTGCTTCCTGCAGACCTCCCTGCTCAGAAAGTGTCAGCAGCTGACCGATAAGCAGGAAGGTCCTGGATAATATTACTGCTGGTTAACCAAAGCAACACCTGTCTTCACAGAGAAATACGAAAAAAAAAATTAAAAATGAGGTAGCGGTAAGTCTTCAGCCCACCAACACTGACTGAAGCCTTTTAAAAGATGAATGGTTAAGAAGTTCATTATCTCTTCATCTAAAGTTTTCAGCTCTAGCTCAGCTGAAGTACTGTGCTGTATTGCTAGAAAATAAAAAGCACAATTTATTTTGAGACAACACTGTAATTTATGTGGACCAGTACAAATCAAAATACACTAAAGTAACCACCCAAGAAGAAGAGATACCACAGCACAAAACATACTGGAGTATTTTTGTAACTACTAGGAGAGTTGCAAATTAAAAGGATAAAACCAAAAAAATAAATACATAAACAGAAATATGTGCCTTGGTCTTAAGACAAGGCAAGACTAAAAAAAAACCCTAAAATTAGGCTTGATAGCACCTGCAAATTAAAACTACTGATAAAAACGAAAAATACTATCAGGCAGAGGATTTAGGATCCATTTTAGGATCTATTTTCAATTTATGCATTTTACTATACATTTATTTAAATACCAACCTTCAGAATTCGGATTTCCATTGGAAGGCTTTTTTTCCATTTAAAACTATGTAATGGCTTAATTTAAAAGCTTATTATCTGTAGACAAAAATATATCAAAGTACACAGGCTTTCAAAATTGTAAAGCAATGCTCAATTTCAAGATGCTGTTTAATCAAGTATCACTATTAACGCATATATGTGCATTACAGTAAATTACGAATGACAAGAGATGATTTAATTTTGCCACAATCCTCTTTTTTGTTCTTACTGTGGTAACATGGTAGATATTATGCAAGGAGGACAAGAAATCTAATAGGCTTAGATAGAGGTATTTCAACTCTGAGATATAAAAAAACATATAGGAAATAGTCTGTAGTCATTACCCTTCTTTGACTGAACTTGCAGATGCTGAGTTCTGCGGAGCACTCTGAAGTCCCACTACTTGGTAGCCCTACTTGCTGAAGCAGGTTTCACCCATATTCAGAAGGAAAACAAGTGTTCAGAACACAATGACAGAGTTAGAAAGCACAGAATTCAACTGTTAAAGTGGAGGAAAGAGTAAAATACAAGCACTTTCATGCTAAGACTATATGAGCTTCACTGACAGGCCAGGAGTGCACCATTCAAAGCCCATGTGAGCCCACATCTGCTCTCAGGGAAACCATACATTTTGTCAAGGGTCCCGCAAAAATCACTTTTTCAAGAGCCATACGAACTCAATTAATTTTTGCTCACTGTGATAAACTAGGACCTCAAAAGTTAAGCAAGGGGATATTTATTTCAGTCAGAAGAACCCTTTATGATTATCTGAAGGATTCAGACACATTATGAAGTAACAGAACTGGACTGAGCAGCAGATGATGGACTGCTCATCAGCTTACTGACATCAGTATAGACTGACCTGTGAACTTGCTCTGAATTCTAAACTACATTACTGCTTGTGGAACACAGAACATCTCCAGTCTGAAGTCACAGAAGACAAGCAAGTGAAAGAATGGGATGCATCTTTCTCTACAGACCCTCACATTTCTTTTTCACTTGTTTTCCTCAGCTTCTAGTAATATGTACAAATTAGTAAACATGCTTTCCCATTACTTCTTTGTTTTTTTTTTACTGGGTTTTCAATGGAGCAATAAAACAGTCTTCACTGGACATCTCAGAAATTACAATGTTGAGTACAGAGAAAGCAATTAAAACTTTTATTAAAATGGAGCAAATGGGTAACTGACATACGGTTCACAAAGGACATTTTCTGGTATTTAAAAAAAAAAAAAATTGTTTACAATACAGCCCATCAGCTACAACTTGAATAAAGGAACTCTCAATCAAAAGTAGGCTGTGCTCTCCCTGATGTCTTTCTTTCCATCACACAGCCAGTATTGCTGACGTTAATAGCTGGTTTTCATCCACAGACTGATTTTATCAAAACAGTGGTATTAGTGGCAGCAAAACAAGTGAAGTTATATTTCACATATCACTCCTCCCGGGCTCATTAAAAATAATCTGCTGAAACCCAGTATAATTCAAAATCTTGAGAATTAATTTCACAGAGAAAGATTAAGAGAAATAGGGAAACAAACATAAGTATCTATCTTATGCATGGAAAACTAAAGTTGACTGTCAGAATGTCAAGTTAGGAATGTTGATACAGTTATATGAATGGTAAATAACGCTTCTGTGAAAATGTTAGAGAAAAGGTGGAAAAAAGTTCCAGTTAACATTTAAAGCTGTTAGGCCACAACTTGTGCACCAGCAATATAAAATTCTGCTTTGGCCTAGAACTTGAGCTCTGCTATTCAGCTGCAAGGGAAATATTTTTCTAGAAAGTGGAAGATGTACAGTGCCCTCAGTACACAAATCCAAAGAAAAGACCTCTAATTGATTTAATAATCCTTACAGAAAGAGCATAAAAATCATACTTACTTTAAAAAGGCCTCATTCACAGCCTCCAGAAACTCTGAACTGAGAACTTCTTTTGATGCACCTCCATGATAAAGCAGGAGAGTTTCCAGCAGCGGAGTTACATCAGGCAAAGTAATGAGAGGGAGACAGAAAAGAGACACAGCATTCACACGACTGGCTGAAACTCTGAAGGAAAAACAAATACAGTTCATATTTCAGAAAAGTCAAAACTTTAATTTTGACACTGATAATGTGAAAGAAGATTAAATTAATTATGGAAGTGCAGATGTAAGAGAGACATACCTAACTGCACTAAAAATAAAAAATACTGGAATGACTGTTAACATGTCATTACATATTACCTAAGTAGCTGTCAGATAAGATTTTGATATTTTAGTGCTCAAGGCGATATAATTTTGATATTTTAGTGCTCAAGTGCTCGACCCAATACTGAAGTGCAGCCAGTTGTGTTCATGGAGCAATTGCACCCTTCCTAGCCAGGAATGCTTTGTCTCTCCCAGGATCCGCAAAACACAGGTAAGGAAGACGACAGATTCACAGCTCCCATGTAGGTTTGCTAGACCCTCACAAGAGATCTCATGGTTGCTTTTACGGTCTTCTGTTGATTCCCTGACCTCTCTCCCTTCAACAGAGACAACTTGGTCTAAATTAATTCAGTTCATTTATTCTTCCTTATACAAACACCTACATGCAAGGAGGAAGGGATAAAAACAGCCAAGGTATTGGCTTATGATATAAGGAAAACATTTCAATCAGCCTCCTCTTTGCTGTAACTTTACAGGCTATGTGGTGTTAAACAGGTCATGAAAAACTCATTTCATCATATCAGCAGCTTTCACCCTGAAGACAAGAGATTATGCACAAGAGAGTCGTATATTTAAAACAGAAGATACAATCTGAGTATATAGTATATATCAAAAATATCTATCCTTATTTTTGCTTTTTTTTTTTTTTTTTTTGATCTGGAATACACTTAATTTACAGGCAATCAAATGGATCTATCAGTGGATTCAAAGGTGGTAATTTTAAAAGTACTGACAAACTACTATGATCTGCATTTCAAGGTCAATGAAAAAGGCACAAGTTACAAAGCAAAAAGGCATGATCTTGTCAAAAACCGTGACAACAGCAGCATTAGGCAAATGTATTCCCTCTTTTATGGTCACAGGTTTTGGCTTAATTCACTGTATTTATGTAATGTAGATGAAGGTGATTGTCCTCACTGACTATACCTGGACATGCAGAAATACATCACAATGTTCCAGCACCTCCTGATAATCTAGACTGGAGATCTGGCCAGAGTATGTCTCAATTTCCCTTCCACCCACTCTCTCAGACTTTCATCCTCAGAAAACCAGGCCAAAGAAGCAGTTAAAGGGTGGAAATGTTATGTGCTTGAGAAAATTTAAAATAGTTGTATATGAAATACACAGTGTTGCCACAGTTCTGCTTGGTACCAAATCAAGCAACTAATGGAAAGAAAATGAATTCTTTAAAGGGGTAGGACCAGTTTTATCATTATTAACAAGTGCAAAGTAACTACTATTCTGTGATATTAAAGTATCGCTTACCCAAATAGAGAAAAAATTCCTTTGGAAAAAAGTTTTTGCTTTTTCTCATAGTGACTACCAGTTAACTTTTGCTACAAGGACGCATATAGCAGCAGCCAACATTATGATTATAAAGTTTATGAGGTTCAGAGACCTAAGTGCAAGGTCCTTCACCTCGGCTGGGGCAATCCCCAGTATCAGAACACACCAGGGGATGAGCGGCTGTGGTGAAGGACTTGAGGGTACTGGTAGATAAAAAATTGGACATGTCCTGGCAATGTGTGCTCACAGTCCAGAAAACCAACCACATCGTGGGCTGTATGTAAAAAACATGGCCAGTAGGTCAAGGGAGGTGATTCTCCCCCTCTACTCTGCTTTGGTGAGACCCTCATCTAGAGTACTGCATCCAGATCTTGAGTCCTCAGCACAAGAAGGACATGAATGGAGTGAGTCCAGAGGAGGGATGGAACACCTTTCCTATGAGGAGAGGCTGAGAGGGCTGGGGTTGTTCAGCCTGGAGAAGAGAAGGCTCTGGGGGAGGCCTTATTGTGGCCTTTCAGTATACAAGGGGTCTTCTGTGTAAGACTGAGAGAGACTTTTTACCAGGGCCTGTGATGAGAGAATGGTGACGAGGCCATGGTTTTAAACTGAAAAGGGTAGATTTTGCCCTTATAGGACAAAATTCTTTACAATGAGGGTGGTGAGACATTGGAACATGTTGCTCAGAGAAGTTGTGAATGCCTCCTCCCTGGATACAATCAAGGTCAGTTTGAGTGGCACTTTGAGCAACCTGGTCTAGTGAAAGATGTCCTTGTTCACAGCAGGAGAGTTGGACTAGATGAGTTCTGAAGGTCCTTTCCAAACCTAACCACTCCATGGCTCTCAGGTGAAGTATAAGTTCTTATGAGAAGCACAACTTAACAAGCTTGCCTGTATCTGAAATTATCTACACAAATATACAAAACCTTTCAACTGATGCCTAAGTTGCCCAAGACTGTAAAAAGGTCCTCACTTAACTATAATGATCCAAACTAAAAAATGGTGTCTCAATAATACCTACCTCCCCGCTATGTTAAGTCCATTGCACTGATTTCCTCTGAGTTCTGTTACTAATGAAAAGACCATCTGTCAGCAAAATAAAATAAATTTTAAAATAAAATAAACTATGCATACTGTGAATAAGCAGATATGGTTCTCTGTGTGCTCGATACACTGCAGAGGTTAATAACTTTGTCTGTTCACTCAGTTTGCTTTTTAATTTTTTAACTATAGGTGCCAAATTAAAGCTGTCCAGATAACTGAATAAACTATGCTGCAAAACATTTTTTGAACACACATTTCATACCTTCCACATTTAAAACTAAGAAGCTATTTATTTTAGCTCTGCTTCCCCAAGGGTTAAGGCAAAACTTTCAGAAGAGTAATACTAATAATGTTTATAAGTTTTACCTTTATATTAACAAAATATGAAATATTATTCCTGTTATTTTTATACATTAAATGTAAAAGACACTTTTCCTAAGATTTTAAGGCTCATCTACCATTTTCAATTAAGTGCCTAAAGTCAAAGAAAACATTCCAAAAGCTACATTCTGATACCCAAAGTAATATATACAATTTAAGAATCACAGAGAAAAAAAAAATGATAGAGCAGACATTTTTTGTTATAACACAACAGCAACAGGAATTCTGTTTTTATGAACACCTATTACACTATAATCTAATAAAAAAAATTGTCATTTGTTCAGAGTTCTTCCACTTCATTTTTTCCCTTAAAAGGCTGTAAAAGTAACTGAGGTAAGAAAAGATAAAGTGCAGTCCATGTTTCTTATAACAATGACAGCTCCACGTTTGTGCTTATAAACTGGTGACTTATTATTAACAAAATCTGAATTGCACAAAATACTTACATTTTTAACTAAGTGACAATAATAATCTGCTGACGTGTAGCCAAGAGCTGATATGAATGTACTAGTTTCAGCTTCATTACTTTCCCACTTAGAAGAAGACAGAAGATGGCACAGCAAACTCTGTGAGAAATCAGCAAAAGGGCAATTAAAAAAGTCTACAGCATGCTGGATAAAAAGAACCGACTGTTATTCAGCTATATCTGGGGTAGATCTTTTGATGGATTGTGCTCATTTTATGCCACTGACACAGAAGAGCAGGCAAGTCTCACCAACCATAAGGAAAACACTGCAGCTGCCACAGTCAAACGTGTCCTCACACATCACACCACACGATTTCAGCAGCTGTACATTAGCAATGGAGACCATCTGTGCCAAAACAGACAGACCTTAGGCTAGTTTCAGTTCTCCCAGAGCTATTTCAGCCTGATGTCATCCTGCTGACAGCTGCCACGCAGCAAAAAGCTCACCTGTAGTCTTGATCAGTATCATGATCAAGAAGAGAAAGCACGAAGTTAACATTAACTTTTCTGTATCACCCCTTCAAGAGGCCCCAATATTTTTGACAGGATTCAGGGTCTGGCCTCATAACTGAATTTGCTTAATTTTCCCATTATGTGGAAATTTTAGTTTGGCATTTACTTCCTTATCAATTTCACTACAGAATGTTTTAAGTTATATTTAATAAAACCTTTTCAATACGTTATATAAAAATCAAAACAATCCTTTGATGGTAGATTGAGAGTAAAGTCAGATGGACACATTGGCTACACTGGTTCTGCAGCACCATACTACAGCTCTGCTGTATTTTGGACAGATCTTACGCTCCGGCATCTCCCCAGCTGAACTCACGTACGAACACTGTCGTGTGAAATCTTGAGCAGGTTTTTTGCTATCATAACTGAGCAGAGGTAGTTTTCTGTTGCTTATCAAATGATCTGCTCTGAATTTGTTACAGTTTTCTTTTCTTCCTTTCTTCTATAGCTACATGCTGGTATAACAACAGCTACATTTCCTTTCCAGAGGTCCATTTCAGGGCTTTATTTGTCATTGACACTTAAAGTATAAACTAGATTACACTTTGTATGGCAGTAAGTATAAAACACTTTGTATCAGAGGGTCAGGATTAGCAAAGACTGAAAAAGATCTTCATTTTTAAATTATGTAATTAAAAGGAAAGTTCAGATGAAGGCTCTGTGATTTCCATGGTCTCAGAGCATTCATTCTATACTCTTTTCAAAAGAAGGATCTCATGAAAAATTCAGGACTAAAAAAATATTATTATACTAATATAATAATA